CACTGCTGGTCACTTCTGGTCACTGCTGGTCACTGCTGGGCACTGCTGGTCACTGCCGGGCACTGCCGGGCACTGCTGGTCACTGCTGGTCACTTCTGGTCACTGCTGGTCACTGCTGGTCACTGCTGGTCACTTCTGGTCACTGCTGGTCACTGCTGGTCACTGCTGGTCACTGCTGGTCACTGCTGGTCACTGCTGGTCACTGCTGGTCATTGCTGGTCACTGCCTGGCACCGGTGGGCGCTGGGTGCCCCATTCTCCCCCCCAGCCCAGAGCTGCTCCTCGGCCTAATCCTGATCCGGGGTGAAATCCCCGATCCCAGACGGCTGAGCCGCGCTCCCGCCCTAATCCCGGCCCGGCTGCTCCGGCTGCTGCCAGCGGGGCCCTCAGTGCCTCAGTTTCCCCAGCCCCTAAACCCTGCTGCTCTGTGCCCATGGGGTCTCTGAATTCGGGGATCCCAAAACCCCAGGAAAGCAGAATCCCGGAACTCCTGAATTCTGGAATCTCAGGAACCCAGAATCCAAAGATCCCAGAATCCCGGAATCTCAGAACCCTGGAATCTCACAACCCCAGAATTCCAGAACCCCACAATTCCTGAATTCCAGAACCCCAAAATCCCAGAATCCTAGAATCCCAGATCCCATAGTTCCAGAATCCCACAATCCAAAGATCCCAGAACCCCGGGATCTCATGATTCCAGGATCCCAGGATCCCATGATCCCAGAACCCCAGGATCTCATGATTTCATGATCCCAGAATCCCAGGATCCCATGATCCCAGAATCCCAGCACTGATGAGGTTGGAAAAGCCCATCAAGCCCAAGCCGATCCAGAATTCCAGGAATTCCTGGGACGCCTCCAGGGCTGGCCCCTCCATCCCTCCCCGAGCCCCTTCCAGGCGGAAATTCCTCCTGAAATCCCCGATCCCGCAGAGCAGATTCGGGAATTGTGGCGCAAGGAAGGACACAATTCCCTTTTGGGGAGCAGCCCCGAGCCCATCCCGGGATGTTCCCTTCCCCCCATTCCCTAATTAATTCCCTAATTCCCCAAATCTCCCGCTTTTGTCTGGGCTTTGTTTTGCGGCCCGCGGGGCGGAGGGGACACCCAGGGGACATCTGCCACCCGGATTAGCGCGGGGCCTCCATAAATGATTCATTGGGAGGCCACCAATTAATCAATCTTAATTAATTAATTAATTGAACCACGTTAATTAATCCCCGGATCAACAATGAGCTATTAACCCGAACATCTCCGGCCTGGAAAAATCCGGATTTTCCCCCCTTTTTTTTTCCCCCCCATCAAACCCCTGTGTTTGGAATGCGCGTTTTCCAAAAATCCCTTCCCAAAACTCCACGCTGGGATGATGGAATTCTGGGATTCGGGGGTTCCAAAATTCAGGAATTCTGAGATTCGGACATGCTGGAATCCTGGGATTCTGGGATTTTTGGGGTTCTGGGGTCCGGGGATCTTTGGATTCTTGGATCCTGGGATTATGGAATTCTGGGATTTTGGGAATTCTGGTATTCTGGAATTCTGGGATTTTGGGTGTTTGGGAATTCTGGTATTCTGGAATTCTGGGATTCTGGGATTCTGGGATTCCAGGATTCTGGGTTCCTGGGATTTCGGGTTCTGGAATTCAGGAATTCTGGGATTCCGGGATTCTGCGTTCCTGGGATTTTGGGGTTCTGGGGTCCCATCCCGACCCTTTTCCCATGGGAACCAGCTCGGATACAGCTCCAGGATTTTATTTGGGGCTGGGGGAGGCACAGCTGCAAATCCCGGTTCCTCCTTTCCCGGAGGGATTTGGGATTTGGGGGGTTCGGGGACCCCCCCGGCGGCTCGCGGTCTCCTGCTGCCCCCAGGGGACATCTGCCACCCGGATTAGCGCGGGGCCTCCATAAATGATTCATTGGGAGGCCACCAATTAATCAATCTTAATTAATTAATTAATTGAACCACGTTAATTAATCCCCGGATCAACAATGAGCTATTAACCCGAACATCTCCGGCCTGGAAAAATCCGGATTTTCCCCCCTTTTTTTTTCCCCCCCATCAAACCCCTGTGTTTGGAATGCGCGTTTTCCAAAAATCCCTTCCCAAAACTCCACGCTGGGATGATGGAATTCTGGGATTCGGGGGTTCCAAAATTCAGGAATTCTGAGATTCGGACATGCTGGAATCGTGGGATTCTGGGATTTTTGGGGTTCTGGGGTCCGGGGATCTTTGGATTCTTGGATCCTGGGATTATGGAATTCTGGGATTTTGGGAATTCTGGTATTCTGGAATTCTGGGTTCCTGGGATTGTGGGGTTCTGGAATTCTGGGATTCTGGGTTCATGGGATTTCGGGGTTCTGGAATTCTGGGATTCCAGGATTCTGGGTTCCTGGGATTTCGGGTTCTGGAATTCAGGAATTCTGGGATTCCGGGATTCTGCGTTCCTGGGATTTTGGGGTTCTGGGGTCCCATCCCGACCCTTTTCCCATGGGAACCAGCTCGGATACAGCTCCAGGATTTTATTTGGGGCTGGGGGAGGCACAGCTGCAAATCCCGGTTCCTCCTTTCCCGGAGGGATTTGGGATTTGGGGGGTTCGGGGACCCCCCCGGCGGCTCGCGGTCTCCTGCTGCCACCTCCCGGTCTCCGGTTTGAAAAGAATTCCCGGGATTTTCCCTCCCTGCCGCCTCGGGAGTGCGGGAGGGGCGGGGATGGGAGCAGCGGATCCCATAAAAACCGTCCGGGAGCGCTTGGGGCTGGGACGGGGAGGATTTTGGGGCTGGAATGGGGATTTTGGTGTTGGAATGGGGATTTTGGGGCTGGAATGGGGATTTTGGGGTTGGAATGGGGATTTGGGGCTGGAATAGGGATTTTGGGGTTGGAATGGGGATTTTGGGCTGGAATAGGGATTTCGGGGCAGGAACGGGGATTTTGGGGCTGGAATGAGAAGGATTTTGGGGGCTGAAGGAGGAGGATTTTGGGTTTAGAACGAGAAAAATTTGGGGGTTGGAATGGGGAGGATTTTTGAGGTTGGAACAGGGATTTTGGGGTTGTAAAGTGCATTTTGGGTTGGATATTCCTCCCCAAAGGTCCCGATCCTGCTGCTGGGGTGCCCGAGCTGGGGACAGCGGCGCCACCGCGATGTCCCCAAGTGTCCCCGGCGCTCGCTGCAAAGGGAAAGCAAAACCCCCCAACACCCGCGCCCTCCCGGGGCAATTAAAATTAATTCCCTGCGAGCTTTGGGGGCTGAGAGCGCCGCACCCCCGACGTGTCCTTGTCCCCTCTGCCACAGGGGTGGCCGGGGGGTGACAGCCCCGGAGGAGGAGGAGGAGGAGGAGGAAGAAGGAGCCGCACGGAGCAGAGGAAGTCCCCGCCGGGCACTCGCCGGCCCCGAGGGGTCCCCGCTCCGAGATGTCCCCGCCCGGGGGTCGCCGCTGTCCCCCGGCGCTGCTGGCGCTGCTGCTGGGCCTGGCCGGGAGCCGAGGTGAGGAGGGGGCGCGGGATGGGGGGCTGGGGGGGGCTGCGGCAGTTCGGGGATGGCGGGGGATTCGGGAATTGCCGGGAATTCGGGAATGGCGGGGAAAAGCCGGAGCGGCGAGAGGGGCTCGGGGGGATGGAGAGGGGCTGGCTGCGGGTTTGGGGGATTCTCCTCGGAGCTCTCAGCCCGCCCTGCCCCGGGAGAGCCGAGCCGAGCCGGGCCGGGCCGTGACGGGGGGCCGGTTCCCCTTCCTGGGCAGCGTTTCGGGCGAGGAGTTGGGCTGAAAGTCGCGACTTCCCCGTCCCGACAGTTCCCCAACCCCGCAGCTGCGACATTTCCCTCTTCCCGAACTCAAATCCCTCTGCCCAACCTGCACAGCCCCTTTTCCCGGGATTTTGGGGCAGCTGGTGACGGCCCAGGGTCTTTTTTTGCCCCAAAAGCAGCGACTTTGGGGTGTGGGGAGCAGGGAAACAGCGGGATTCGGGTGATGGATCCACCCCGGAGCATCTCCAGGTGCCTGGAGCATCTTCTGGCCACACCTCGGCGGGGTTTGGCGTCGTTGTTTTCCCGACAGCTGCAGGATTTGCAGAATCCCAGGATTTCTGAGGCTGGGAGAGAGCTCTGAGGTCATGGAGTCCAGGCAGGGACCAACCCCCACCTGGTCCCCCAGAATTCCAGGAATTCCTTGGACACCTCCAGTGGTGACCACTCCAACCCTCCCTGATCCCCTTCCGAGCTCTTTTCTCTTTTCCAGGAGGAATCATCCCAAATTTCCCACCCTGGCACAGCTCGAGGCCGTTCCCTCTGGTCCTGCCCCATTCCCTGGGATCAGATCCCAAACCCCCCCAGGATCCCCCTTTTCTCCAGGCTGAGCCCCCCTGCCAGACCCCTCAGGAGAATTTGGACCCTCTCACCCCCTCCGGCAGCTCCGGAGCAGCAGGAAAAGACAATTCCCGTGTCCCGCAGGAATTCCGGCACCTGGAGCAGGGGGAAATCCCTGCCCGTGCCCCCCCCGCAGGTCCCACCGATCAATAATCCCGGCTCCCACTGCCCCAGGGGAGGATTTCCTGCCTCTCCCTGTTCCAGCCCCTGGAATTCCCGAATTTCCCGAGCCTCGGGGTGTCCCCACACCTGCACAGCCCGGAGCTGGAAATTCGGGAGGAATTTCCTGGTGGAAAACCCCCCGGGATGGGTGGGATGGGCTCGGGGGGCTGGGGAAGGGGGGGGGGGTTTGTGCAAAGCGCCCCCAAAGCCGCCCTGACCACACGGAGCCGCAGGAAGCGGCGTGGGCCCTCCGGATGTTCCGCGGGTTTTATTTTGGGGGCCTTCGACATCCGGGGCTGCTCTGGGGAAGAGAAACCCAGAAAGTTGAGAGGAAAGGGGGCAGGGGGTGAAATTCCCCCGGATGGGGAGGGGAGGTGTGGAGAGAGAGGAACCTCTGGAAGGGGGAATGGACACAGAAGCAGTCTGGGATAATGGGGAGGGAAGGGAAATTTGGGATGGGGAATGGACACAGAACCAGTCTGGGATAACGGGGAAAGGGGGGAAATTTGGGATGGGGAATGGACACAGAACCAGTCTGGGATAATGGGGAGGGAGGGGAAATTTGGGATGGGGAATGGACACAGAAGCAGTCTGGGATAATGGGGAGAGGGGAAATTTGGGATGGGGAATGGACACAGAAACAGTCTGGGACAATGTGCAGAAAATTGAACTTTTGAGATGGGGAACGGACACTCTACCAGCCTGGGATAATGGGGAGACAGTAGAAATTTTGGGATGGGGATTGGGAACCAGCCCAGGATGGTGAGGAGAGAATGGAATCCCTGGAATGGGGAATGGACACAGAACCAGTCTGGGATAACGGGGAGAGGGGGGAAATTTGGGATGGGGAATGGACACAGAACCAGTTTGGGACAATGTGCAGAAAATTGAAGTTTTGAGATGGGGAACGGACACTCTACCAGCCTGGGATAATGGGGAGACAGTAGAAATTTTGGGATGGGGTTTGGGAACCAGCCCAGGATGGTGAGGAGAGAATGGAATCCCTGGAATGGGGAATGGACACAGAACCAGTCTGGGATAAGGGGGAGAGGGGAAATTTGGGATGGGGAACGGACACAGAACGAGCTTGGGACAATGTGGAGAAAATGGATTTTTTCCGTTCCCCATGGAATGGGAATGGACACTCAACTGGCCTGGGATAATGGGGAGACAGTAGAAATTTTGGGATGGGGATTGGGAACCAGCCCAGGATGGTGAGGAGAGAATGGAATCCCTGGAATGGGGAATGGACACAGAACGAGCTTGGGACAATGTGGAGAAAATGGAATTTTTCTATTCCTCATGGAATGGGAATGGACACTCAACTGGTCTGGGATAATGGGGAGAGAGGGGAAATTTGGGATGGGGAATGGACAGAGAACCAGTCTGGGATAACAGGGAGAGGGGAAATTTGGGATGGGGAATGCACCTTGACCAGTCTGGGATAATGGGGAGAGAGGGGAAATTTGGGATGGGGAATGGACAGAGAACCAGCTTGGGATGGCATGGAAAGAATGGAATTTTTGGGATGAGGATGGGGAATGGGCCCTGGGCCAGGAGTGGCCTTGGTGGACGCTGCAGGTGCAGCCCAGGGGTGGCCCCAGCAGTGACCGTGTCCCCTCCGGAGCCACGGAGCCTCTCGAGGGGTCACAGCCTCACCCTGGCTCTGGTTTAGGATCCCGGGAATGCCAAAACCGAGCTGTGTCCCTCGCTGTGTCCGCGGGAGGATCGCTGTGCCTGGCGCCGCAGGAACCCCCGCGGGAGTGGGCAGAGATCCGCTGGAAAGTGAAAATTGATTCAGGAACGTGGCAGAAGATCCTGACGGCCCCCAGGGCTGGAACTGTCTCCTATCCCAAAGGGTCTTTCCAGGGGAGAGCGAAATTCCAGCCGGGAAACCTCTCCCTGTGCATCTCCCCGGTTCACAGAGCCGACAGCGGGGTCTATAGTGCCGAGTTCGAGAATGCCGCAAAAATTTCCTCTCGATGCTTCCAAGTGTCCGTGTGGGGTGAGTGGCTGCGTCCCTGTGTCCCTGTGTCCCTGTCCCCTGTCCCCTCTCACCCTCGCTGTCCCCGCAGACCCCATCCCGCCGCCGGAGCTGAAATCCCAAATCCTGCAGCGGGATCGGGGCTGGTGCGTCCTGGCCCTGCTCTGCTCCAGCCCCGGGAACGTCTCCTACAGCTGGGCCTGTCCCGGGGATCCCCCGGGGGAGATCCCGGAGCAGATCCCGGAGCAGATCCCTGAGGAGATCCCTGAGGAGATCCTGAAGCAGATCCCTGAGGAGATCCTGGAGCAGATCCTGAAGCAGATCCCTGAGGAGATCCCAGAGCAGATCCCGGGGATCCCCTCGTGGCTGATCCGGAGGCTCCCCGAGGGCGCCGAACCCCAAATCTGCCTCTGCAACGTCAGCAACCCCGCGGGGTGGAGCGCGGCCCGCGCCCGGCTCACCTGCCCAGGTGATCTTCCCCTGGATCCCGGGATTTCGGGGGGCTGGGAGGGACCCACCAGGGTGGGGTCCAGGATTAAAAATTTTAGAGTTTATAAGCGGGGAAAAAAGTGTTTCCAGTGCTAAAACCATTTAAACATATAGAATTGTACTTATTATTATTTATTATTTATACTTATTTACTTATTACTATTTCTTAAATGCGTAATTATTTACATATTTAAATTAATTTATGCACATGGAGTATAATATATAATACATAATATATATACCCATTTATATAAGTTTATATCAAACATAAACTTATTTACATATTTTTAAACCAGTATTATTTATACATTTTTAAATTGATATAGGCAAAAATATAATTTTGGAGATTCAAGGAATCCTGGAATGTTTTGGGCAGGAAGGGGACCTTAAATCCCAGCTCAATTCCAGGATTCTGGGATTGTTTTCCAGAAATTCCAGAGAATTCCAGCCACTGGACACTGCTGGCCGTGGGCGTGGCCGTGGGCGTGGGGCTGCCCCTGCTCCTCGTGGGCAGCTGCTGCTGGTGGAGGAAGAGGAGGAAGAATTCCCGGGAAGGTTTGTCCGGAATGTCGGGGCAGGATCCCAAATTTTGGGGGTTTGACCCCAAACTGACCCTTGAAACCCCAATTTGGGAATTATGACCCCAAACTGACCCTTGGAACCCCAATTTGGGAATTATGACCCCAAACTGACCCTTGAAACCCCAATTTGGGAATTATGACCCCAAACTGACCCTTGAAACCCCAATTTGGGAATTATGACCCCAAACTGACCCTTGAAACCCCAATCTGGGAATTCTGACCCCCACAGAGACCCCCAGACTCCCTGCAGGACCCTCAGAGCTGACCGTCTACGCTGAGGTGGGAGAGAAGAAACCCCGCCAGGATCCTGTGAGTGCCGGGAATGTCCCTTCCCACCCAAAATCTGGGAATTTTGGGGCCAGGAAAGCCCTCCAGGGTCATGGGGTCCACCCTGGGGCTGACCCCAGCCTGGTCACTCAGCGTTCAGTCATCCCTCGGACACTTCCAGGACCGGGATCCCAAACCTCGGGCAGTTCCCAGGCCTGACCACGCTTCCATGGGAAATCCCCTCCGTGTGGGAATTTCGGGAACCCCGAGTTGATCCTTTTAACCATTCCCGGCTTTTTTTTTGTGTCCCCAGTCTGGGAGTGGCGAGGCCACCCAGGAAGGAGCCACCGTCTACGCCGTGGTCACTCCCAGGACACTGGTAGGGTCATTCCCGTGGGATCCCAGCTGATTCCAGGGCTGGATCCATTTTTAATCCAGTTTTTATCCCAAAATTTCCCATTTTTTGTGCATCCCCACCCTTTTTCCCTGGCAGGAGCATCCCAGGCACCGGGAGGAACCCGAGAATTTCACCGTTTACTCAACGGTCCAGTTTGGCCGAAGGGTAAGGCTGTCCTGGAGTGTCCCCAAGCCTTGGAGACACCAAATCCGTGTCCCTCGAGGTTTTGGGATCATCATCTTGCTTTTCCCAACGGGAATTTTCCCCTTTTTTCCCCACAGCCTTCTTCCATCAAGAGGAAGAGGCTGGACCGAGCTTTGGTCGCCACTGCCTACTTGGAGGTAACGGAGAATCCACGGGGTTTTTTTGGGATGAAAAAAATCCCCCAAATGCCCCAAATCCCACCCGTTTCCTTGCAGGATAACGGGAGTTACAGGCGCTTGGGCTTCCCAAATCCTGCCGACCACCAGAGCCCCTAAAACCCCGGAATTCCCATCCCTGTGGAATTCTCCTGGAAACTCCAGTGGACACTGGGATCAATAGAATAGAAATATGCAGAAATTTGGGGGTTTTCCCCAAGGTTCAACCCCCAGTTGTGCCTTGGAGCGAAGATTTGGGGATGGTAAAATCCGGAAGGGATGGATTTGGGATTGGGCAGGCGGGATGGGCGGGGGTGGGAATTTTGTGGGGTTTTTAGGGTTTGGAGAATTTGGGAATCTTTTTTTTTTTTGTTGTTTTTCTTGGTGAAGAGTGTGAAGAGGTTTGGGTTTGCCAGTCTGAGTTTCCGGCCAAGGCACCAATTTTGGCGTGGGTTTAGTGCTGGCCAAACCCCAGCGCTAACTTGAGTTGTTTGCTCATTTCCTGCTGTGAGATACGGATTGGGAGGAGGGGGGCAAAACAGCCTCAAAACTTTAAAAGGTATTAAAAAAAAAATCTTTATTCATGGAGTGAAAATAAAAATAAAAATAAAATCAGAATAAACCTTCGGAATGCTTATCCCCCACGCTCTTTTCTTTCCCACTGACAACGTAAAGAGACAAAACCTGGGACTTTCAGTTTATCAACTCAAAACAGCCTTTCTTCAGCTCTCTTGAGGAGTCTCTCTTGCCATGCCATGGAGACTTCTCCACAAGAAGCAGCTCTTTCCTGGCTTTTCATTTTAATTTCCGTGAAGCGAACAAAGTCCGTTACGAGACAGCGGCGGCTGCGCGGCGCTGCCCCGGCCGTGAGGATTTTGGCCGGACAGTCTCGGCCTCGTGGCCACTCTGGATTTTGGGGCCACCTCCAGTGCTGGCCACGAGGCCGCTCCTGGCGCTGGTCGCGGCCGCGTGGCTGCTCGGGGTGTTGGGGACAGTCCTGGTGGCACGGCCCGGCTGTGGCAGGAATCTCAGCCCAGCCTGGCCGCGTGGGGCCGGTCAGTGACCTCTTCCCAGGGCAGAAGAAAAAGAGCTTTTTTTGGGCTTTGCTCATTCTTAAATCTGCTTTTCCACAGAGGCGTGTTCAGCTCCTTTCAGTGGTTTAACCAGGTGTCAATCTGCAAACCGAGCCAGGTGATTGGCTCCTCAGAGATCGCCTGCGGATTGGCTCCGCCCCACAAGGAACCAATCCTGCAGCCCCTGTGCTCTCCCCCTGTTAAAAACCCAACAGTTGGTTAAACCACGAGGGGAGATGAGACAGAGTAAGGAGAACCCCAAAACCACCCCGAATCTGCCCTAAATCCACCCAGAATCTGCTCCACATCCACCCCGAATCTGCCCCAAATCCACCCCAAATCAGCCCCATCCTGGTGCTGTCCCCCCTCCCAGGTCCCACCTCTGGGATGGTTTTCCTGGGCTCCAGGGATGGTTTTCCACCCTCACCTTTGGATTTGCAGTAGAACACGAGGAAAATCGATAAAAGCGACGCGACTTCAACCCCGGCTATGACGCCGATCCTGATCCAACTGCTGGAGTGGGCACCTGGAAAAGAAAGAAGATCCAGAGGCAACATCCCAAAACAGGCCTGGCTGTTCCTGGTATTGGGGCAGAGAGAATTTGGCCTCAAATCCCACCCTGATCCCTCATTCCAGGAGATCTCACTCCAAGCCAGCACAGAGGCTGGACAAGCACTGGACAAGGACGAGGATTCCAGAATTCCCAAATTCCCCAGTTACTGGGTCAGAAAGGAACTCTGGAGATCTCCCAGTGCTGCCAGGACGAGGTCCAGGATCCCTCTGGATCCATCCCTTCCCTCCAGGGGCCACACCGCTACCTAGGGTCACCAGTTCCAGGAGGAAGGAGTTCTTTTAGCTATTTTCACAACTTCCCATTTCCAAATAACCATGCCACCTAATTTATACTGGGAATGGAGTTTTTCTTCCCAGTTTTTCTAACAGGGAACTGATCCCGGCTCAGCCTCGAGGTTGGGCTCAGAATTTCTTTCTCCCTCAGCCTCAGACACCTCTGCGGCACAGACAATGGAGCATCAGGAAGGAAAAAGCTCTGGGGAATAAAAACTTGCAGGAAATTTACTGAATAACACAGCCACAAGGTGGTTAATCTGATCCAAGTCTCTTTAGAGGCCGTGGGGAAGGGCTGGGGCCGAACCTTGCCCAATTTCCCTCTTTTCAGCCAGAAAACACCTCAGGATAAAACCTCCAAAAACCAACGCGGAGAGGAGCAGGAGCTGAAGGCAAAGAGGGATGTCTGGAGAACATCTGCACCTGATCTCTCTTTTCCAGAGGGTTCCCATGGCCAGGGCATCTTTGCCCCTGGTTGCCCCATCTCTCCCCCTGGTTGCCCCATCTCTGGGAGGTTGCCCAATCCTGTGGAGCCGATTCCACACATCCCCTCGATGTAAATTTGAGGTGTTTAAAAAAGACCCCCAACTCTGTTCCCAAGGAAACATGAGGGTGGCCACTGGGACAAAGAGTGTCACCTTGGCTGTGTGTGACAAATGGCTCAGGTGCTCTGTGGGGACCAGCCTGGAGAGCGTTATCCCAGAGAATGCCATGGTTCAGGAATTGGTTCCCAGGGACTGGGGCCTCCAGGGCATCCCTGAGGAGTGAGGCTGAGCCCAGTTGTGGAATGGTTTGGGTGGGAAGGGACCTTAAAGCTCATCCCGTGGGCAGGGACAGCTCCCGCCATCCCAGGGTGCTCCAAGCCCTGTCCAGGCTGGCCCTGGACACTCCCAGGGATGGGGAATCCAGGGAACCACCTGGGCCAGGGAAGGATTGATCCCTAAAATCCCATCTAAAGCAGCCCATGGAATGGGCTGAAAACACCTGCAGGCACAGGGTGGGATTTTGGGGTGTCTGTGCAGGACCTGGATATTTGTGATTGTTTGGACATTTGCTAATATTTGTAAATATTTGATTTTTGGGCTCTTTGTCCCAGCTGCCACACTCGTGGCTCAGTGTATTTTTATCCCGCCCAGGATATTTCAAAATTCCATCATTTTTGCATCCCTTGTGGCATCACCTCTCCCTGACAGCCACGGGTGATGGCACAAGGAGCTCTGTCCTTACTTTGGGGACACCTGGGATGGGGAGGGGACACAGCTTCAGGTCACCCAGAGCCTTTTGTCACCTGTCCCCTGGTTTTGGGGCTGATTTCCATCACTTTGTCCCCTGATTTTGGGGCGGATTTTTGTCACCACTGTGTACCCTAATTTTGGGTCTGAATTTTGTCACTTCATCACCTGATCCAGAGGCTGAATTGGTCACCTCTGTCACCTGAGTTGGGGTTGATTTGCTGCAGAACAGGAAGCAAAAGGCAGGAAATGCCCCTGAGCTCTCTTTATTTGCCTTATTTGAGCTGAAACCCCACAGGGGGCTGGATGTGGGGTTGGAAAAAAACCCAAAATCTCCCTGCTGGCTTTGAGGGGGCTTGAGGGACAGAAATATCTTGAATATTCATAGAAATATCTCAAATATCTGTAAAAATCTCTCATCTAAAGGAGGGTCCCATTAATCCATAGAAATATCTCCAATTGTAGAGGTTTTGGTTCGTGACCAGGCAGAAACACCAATTCAGTGAAGAGGTCTGAGTTCACCAGTCTGAGTTTCCGGCCAATGCACCCATTGTGGGGTGGGTTTAGTGCTGGCCAAACCCCAGCACTCGCTGGTGCTGTTTGCTCATTTCCTGCTGTGAGATATGGATCAGGGCAAAACAGGCTCCAAACTTTAAAGGGTGTAAAAAAGCTTCATTCACTGAGTTAAAAAATTAAAAAAAAAATTAAAAAAATCAGAATGAAACTTTGTAATGCTTATCCCCCCTCCCACACTCTTTTCTTTCCCACTGACAATGTAAAGAGACAAAACCTGGGACTTTCAGTCAGTTTACCAACTCAAAAAAGCCTTTCCTCAGCTCTCTTGCATGGAGGAGTCTCTCTTGCCATGCCATGGAAACTTCTCCACAAATGTGGTGGTTTTGCACGGGAGGCACTCACAGAAGGGATGCAAAGACAAAGCTGACACGCCTCTGGGGACACCCATGTAAAAACCAAAAAAATCACGCGAAATCTCTCTTTTTTTGGTTGGCAAAGAGGCAACAGGCCACGCCATGGGGCGCCACCAGCGTCCCTCCATCTCGCAGGCTGGGGAGGGCAGCCCGCGGAGCTGCGGCGGGGCCGGCCGCGGTTACAGTTTCTGACATCTGGCTGCTACTAAGCCCTGGCCTGCCGCCAGCCCAGGGCAAGCTGGGATCTGCCAGGCTCCAGGAGCAGCCCCAGGCTGGGCCGGCTCATCCAAGGTTCTGCCACCGTTGGGTTTATCCGTAAGCAGCGGGCAAGGAGAGGAGAAAGCCACCAGCCCCGCTTTGCGCGCTGCTGCCGCGTTCCGGCCTGGACACACAACACACACACACACACTTGTGCAAAGAGAGTAACAGTACCTCCTTTATTAGTACAAATTCTTCTGCAGTTTTACACCTCTAAAAAGTCTTTAGCTACATCAAAACAGTTCTTCACGTTCAGAAAGAAATAGCTTATTGCGTTTTAATGGTACAAAGGAATTAATGTCAGGTACTGAAACGGCAAGTGTTTACGGATTTTTAAGGCCCCTAATGCTGCTGAGTAACACGTCTCCTCTCCCTGCAATTATTCCTTATGTGTCTATGCTATTGGTTTCCATGCTAACATCCTTCCCTTCTTCCTTGCTGTGGCTAAAGTGCTATTTTATCAATTTGTTCTTCGGCTAACTCCGTTGTTTGGCCTCTAGACCAGCTGCTAAGCCCGACCACACCACGGAGATATGAAGTCGCTCAGTGCTTCCATCCTCCCTCTAGCGAGGGAAGAAGGACCAGACACTGGCATGTGGGGGAGCAACATGAACACATTCATCACCTGATCCAGAGGCTGAATTTGTCACCTCTGTCCCCTGAGTTGGGGTTGCTTTGCTGCAGAACAGGAAGCAAAATGCAGGAAATGCCCCTGTGCTCTCTTTATTTGCCTTATTTGAGCTAAAACCCCACTGGGGGCTGGATGTGGGGTTGGAAAAAAACCCAAAGTCTCCCTGCTGGCATTAAGGGGGCTTGAGGGACAGAAATATCTTGAATGTTCATGGAAATATCTCAAATATCCATAAAAAATTCTTGTCTAAAGGGGGATATCTCTAATCCATAGAAATATCTCAAATTCCCCCACCAATATCTCAAATTTCTGCCC